GGACAATGTGATTCAGACATGGTGTAATCGTGCTAAAGATCAAAACAAGTATCATTTTGTGAATAGTTATAAACAATGATTAGTAAAAAAAAAATTAGTTAACTATTCATAAGAAGTATTAATTTTACTGATAAGTGTACTTATGCCAATAAATCAAAAATCATAAGTAAACTGTATACTGAATACTTGATCTCTAATCAATACTTCATTGCTATTTCAATACCTCAATAGAAAAAAAAACATAGTTATAAAGTGAGATTGCTTGTTACAATCCACAATGAGGTGCAGGTACTTGTACATCTGGGCATTTACCTTTAGAAGTCTGCATTCTTGGGGGCTTTGGAAAATGTAGAAGCATTGAAAATGGTTCGCCTACAGAGGGGCATGAAATTTTTCATGAGTTTGAAAAAAAAAGAAAATAGCTTGAGAGCTTTGCAGTTGATGTTGACCGCAAGGCTCTTAAGATACCTTAAGAAACCCTGCCAAGGGGGCTGGGGATGTGGCTCAGTGGTAAAGTGCTTGCCCAGAATGCACGAGGGCCTTGAGTCCATTCACAGCATTGGGGGGGGGGTGGAGTTTGATTATTTAATGTTATAATTATCATGATAAAATGTTTCTCTTTACTGACAGGCCATCTATAAATTTTTTAAATGGAAGATGAAGTCAACCTTCCCTACACCACGGAATTACATAAAGTGTGTCTTCTGTGGGTGGCATTGTACCCTGTGCCCAGAGGTTAACAGAGGTCATGATATGGAGGTAGCCCAGAGAGTGAGCTGGAGGCTGGCCTCTCTGTGAGTCTTTACTCACTTCCTTGACTTCTTGGATCACTTGGGTGTTTCTCTTTCACCACCTACTGCCCCATTTCCTGTGTGGTTCCTGAGCGTGGAGAGATAATAGGCACATGAATGATGTCCAGGAAAGACTGATGGGGAATGAACTTAGGAGACAAATCTACACTAGAGACAGAAGCTGGTAGATTGGACAAAAGGCAGGATAAGGACATGGAGAAGAGGAAGAGAAACATGCATCCCTGTGTCCCTGAGAGCATGGGCAGACGGTGGCAAGTCTGTTGAGGAGCACAGCGAGTGCAGTTCTGGCCTCATTAATTGATCTTCATGAGAGGGTGCACAGAGAGGCAAAGGCGTGTGGAGACCTGCGCAGGCAGCACAGGGAAGAGGTCAAGCCTAGAGAAAAGGCACGGGTCGAGGGAGGAGGAGGAGGATGGAAGAGGGCATCGGGGCCAGCACAGCAGCCCAGGAGGGAGAGTAGGACCAGGGACACAAAGTCATCTGACTCTTCAGTGAAACTAATTTTCTGTCTTCATTGGAGCCTTCTTAAAAAAACAAAACCCTTCAGGAAGAGTCCTAGTTTGAGAACCCTTGAATAATTCCACATTCACATCACTGCAGGCTGAACAGCCCAAGTGCCTGTGTGGTTTCGCCACCAAGAGAGACACCACTGAGAATGGGCACCGGCGAAGGAACTGCTCCCTCATCCGGTGTCCCTGTAAATGCCCACCCTCAGGCAGGTGCTTCAGACCTGGACTCCTTCTGAGGAGGATGGGCATCCCGTCCAAGTCACTCCCCAGCACAGGGACCTGCAGTTACAACCCTCTTCCATGTACTCTGACCCCTGGGCAGATGTGCTTGCCCGAGCACCCCCGTATACCTACTTTCCTACGAGACCCTGCGCTAACTGAAGGCCAGCAATGTTGGCTGTTCACACCTTAACCAGCAGCGACATTTCTGCCAGCACAGGTATCCGGAGAATATTTGTTGAACAGGAAGACTTGTTGTGGACGTGGAAGGCTGCCACAGAATTCTGCCTGTTTCTGCAATACAGTTTTCATGGTCGTTCTGCATGTGTTTAGGCCCCAAGGTCATGCCAGAGCTTAGCACACCTCCCCAGTCCCTGAGACAGAATTTGATAAGCAAACATGAGCTGGAATGAAACAATGGAAGGATGGACACAGGGAGAATTTTCTGGGCCCACCGATGTGTGGACACAAATGGAATCATCGAGTACCAACGCTTTTTCTTGCTTATGCTCAGCCCACTCAACATGTTTAAAATAACGTGATGAGTGTGTTTATGTAAGACCATTGTGTTAGTCAGCTTTTCGTCACTGTGACCAAAATACCTGAAAGAACCACTTAGGGGAGGAGAAGTTTATTTTGGGCTCATACTTTCAGCGAAGCCATCCATGGCTGGTGGACTTCACTGCTCTGGGCCTCGGTGAGGCAGAACATCATGACAGGAGACTGTGCTAGAGGAAAGTGGCAGCCAGGAAGAGAGAGGTTAAAAGGCCAGGGTCAGATGTAGTCCAAGGCCACGTCCCCAGGACCCTACCTCCTCCAGCCACTCCCCACCTGCCTACAGTCATCACCCTGTAGTCCTGAAATGGATTAATTCACTGATGAGGTTAGAGCCCCATGACCTAATCCTTACTTCCAAACCCCACCTCTGAACCTTGCTGTATTGGGGACCATGCTTCCAAAGCCTGAGATTTTGGGGGCATTTTAAAGACCCAGATCATAGTGGCACCAAGATGGGTTCATGCTTCTGCTTCTGTTCTGGATTCTTCTCTGTGGCATTCTCCTGGGGTCATTGAGCATGAGCCTTCTGACTGATCACCTTTCTCCCTCCCAGTGGCTGCTTTCACTTTGCTGCGGGGTCACAGATTCTCACAGGGGCCACCATCACTACAAACATCGCATGTGCCACTCAGACCTCAAAACAGCTTGATATTCTGAGATCAAGTGTGGGAGAGTCTTTCTTCTTCATTTTCAGTTTTGACTGTCTTGGGGTTTAGGGGGTATTTTGCAAAGTTTGTAATGAAGCAACTCATCTCGAATTAGTTTACATCCATATTGCTCCATGGAACTCAGACAGCTATCCTGGGGGGTTGGGACAGAAGAAAACACCAAATGACCCACACTGTGCTGTGCTCAGAGTCACCCTTCATCCTCGAGGGCCTTGATCCTGGACCAGAGAAGCCTGCTTTTGCCTGTTTGACTCTGTGCTTGGCGTGGTTGAAAAAGTCTGTCCTGTTGTGAGCACAGTAAAGGCTAAAGTTGAGGTGATCATTTCTCATTTCTACATATAGGTGCCATAGATTGTACCAGTGTAACAGCACACTGACAGAAATATTTATTACTCAGTTTTTGATCTGTTAAAAGAACCACAGGAAATGTGTATTTTGTGAGTTGAGATGCCAACCGCTTGAGTAACTGTTAGTAAATCTAAGGATGGGTCCCCCCCCCCGTCCTTTTATCCTACCCTGATAACATCAACGTTCACTGCAGATGAACTTAAATGAAAAGTTTTTGAAATGAACTTTTATATATTTAAGCTTAGTACAATTTGGATGAAGGGTGACTCTGTAATTACATCCATTAAATTGGTTTCAATTGCTCTACTGTGTCAACAGTTAAGGCTTAAGTGAAGGAAAAGACATTTTCAGGAAGAAAACAATAATTCCCACCCCCACCCCCGCTCATATTCGTCTCCTCTCATTGAAAGTGATGCACATAACGTTCTCTAAACAGCCTTCCCATTTAGACCTTTGGGGTAAAACTGTTGGTGATCACTTGGATGACATTTCAGAAGAGATTGTCACAGAGAGGTCACATTTCTTCAGAATCAGAAAGATTTAAGTTTCAAATCCAGCTCTGACCCTTTCTTTGAAATCTCCTTCACAAGGCTCTTCTGCAAGATGGTGATACAGGCCAGTGTGGCAAAGCTCTTGGCAGCCTAGTGAGTTACACAATAAAGCTAATACTTTTGAACCGTATACACACATCATCATGCCATTAATTTTTAAGTATTTGTCAACATAGGTTTACATTGGGCATGAAAAGGATCATAATTTTCCATCTTTAGAAATTAGGTCAAACCTCTGTTTCTGCAAATAAAGTTAATGAGTCTAGGAAACTTTGCATTTGAATATGCTGTTTGTTATTCAAAAGGGAAGTTTGACCTGTGCATAAGAGAAAAAGGAAATCAATGGAGAACAACCCCCAAATGACCCCGATGTGACTCTAACAGACCTGGATTCCAAGCATCCCTTAAAACTATGTTCAAACATATAGAAGAAAACATAAGGGGCAGCAGAATGGCATCTGGAACCCGTGTTTGTACAGATACCTGCAATTATCCACATGAAACACTTATTTACTAGTGTTGGCAGAAAATAGCTTGACCGGGTATATCCAGAGGAGCATCAAATTCCAGTTTATTCTGTACATGCACTCATGAATAATAAACAGTAATTTAAAAAAGCTTTCTGGATATTAGGGAAACAAAGACAAACCAAACAAAAAATAGGTCTGATTTTCAACTCATGGACTCTGGATTTGACATAAATCGAAACAAGTATAATAGGTGGTTAAAAAAAATAGTGCGTTTCATATAAACAGCACTTAGCTGTAGCCCAAAGCCCCAGGGGTACTAAGTTTTACTTCCAAATTTGGGGTGAATTGGACATAAGGGAAAGCTTGAAGGAATGACCAATGAACAGATGAGATGAACCTAATCAGATGCTTGGGAGATTTACATGCAGCCAGGGTGGAACAGAAGGGAGCAGCCAGGGTGGAACAGAAGGGAGCAGCCAGGGGGGAGCAGGCATATGGACAAGGTGATCTGGAGAAGGTTCTGAATACAGGAGTGGAGGGAGCAGTCCTCCTAGAGTACATGGTGCACCCAAGGTGCAGAGATAAGGTAAGAGGAGCAGGTGAGTCCAGGTTACAGGACACTGGACATCCTCTGAAGACATCAGGAAGCCAATTAAAGGACAAGATACAAAAGCTCAGTGTTATTTCCTTTGTAAACTACAATTCCAGAAACAATTTCCAAAATTGATCGTAATTCCGACAATTACTTAGTTAAAAAGCAGATGAAATAGCTCTTGTAATTTTAGTGTAGAACCCTTTAGTTTATTCAGGATTAAGTTACCACATGATAGATTTGAGCACCAATTAAGAATCAAGAAATTTGCTATAAAGTTTTTTAACTTTTTAATTATAAGATATATGTAAGTTTATGGTTTGACAAAATATTCCAATGCACTAACAGAAAGAATCCACCCTTGACATTCCTTGGAATGGCAGTAGAGGAAAGAAATTTAATTTTATGTGTACAAAATGAAATCCACACATAAAGCACAAGTTAAAGTTAAATTATAGGTTGTTAGTTTTGCAGAAATAATACTTCTTTCCTAAGGTCTTGTCTGTAATGTGTTCTGATGAGGAAATTAAGGAGTTCTGTTTTTTAGATAACTTACAAAATTACATTGAAAAATTTTAACATTGATAACGTTGAGACATGACCAAAATACCTTATAAATTCTTAGGGGCTGTGGGTTTTGCCAAATTGTATGGTGCTTGCCTAGTATGCACAGGGCTCTAGGGTTTGATCACTAGCACTGCAAAGATAGAAATGGAGATAGAGAAAGAGATAGAGATAGATAGATAGATAGATAGATAGATAGATAGATAGATAATATTAAATTCACAGCAAATGTGTTTTATAATAGTTCAGGTATTTAGGGTCTAGTAGGATTCACTGGAAATATTTGAGGATTTTGAAATATTAGAATATAATGCCATCAGAGTATTTCAGACTGGGAAAAGCAAAGGAATTTTATGTCCCCGAATTCAAAATGCTTATTTTATCCTTCATGTTACTCCTTACAGCTAATGACATCAAAGAAAGGAACTCAGACACATGGCAGTGGTCACACTTGGTTGCATATCAGTGAGTGATTATGTAATACTTGTATGACTTTTAAAAGCAAACACAGCACAAGTCCCTGCCCCCACACCCTACTCTGTTTTGTGGCATGGAATGGTGCCTAACCTCCTGGGACCATCTGTGTTAATATGGACATAATTATTCCTTATGTTCTATAATTGCATAAGGTACATCTTACAGAGAACATTTCCTCCAAGGGTCTTATGCAATGTTCTATGAAAACAAGCCTTCTCTGGATGTGTGAGTCACTGTCTCCCAGAAAACGTCTTCCTTGTAAATGATTCCAGCGCTTATAAAACAAAAGAAGGGAGGAGAGAAACCATGACCTTTTTCCAAAAGGGAAAAACTAACCCAAGGGACAGGGGATTGCCATTCCATTTCCTCGTATTTGCTGGTTTTGTGATAGTAAGACTTTTTAAAGTTGGTTATTTAATCAAGAGCAGAAAGCCTGATGAACTTTGACCTATTTCCATGAACTGGTGGTCAAACGGGGAGAATAAAATTCCAAAACGGCACAATTATCATAAAATCCATGTAGTCACTTTTGTTCTGTTTTATTTGGCTTGAGGTTCCTCAGTTGTCATTTTATGTTCTACACCTGAAATTTTTGCAACTATCCTTGGCATGTCTCTAGTATTTTGATACAATACCAAGAATTGTATTAAATTTAAATTTCCTAGATTGCCTAAATTTCCAAGCACAAACAAATCTATTTTCTCCCTTTGCTGAATTATCTCTTCAGGTTCTTTCCACTGATAACCCATCTAACCAAAAAAAACCAAAACCAAAACAAAAACAAAGAGTGATTAGTGATTAAATACACATCCACCTCAACACATGGTCAGTGTAAGGAAATATGCTTGAACTCATTACACTGCTTTCTGAATCCTTGTTACTTTCAGTTTTCTTAAGAACACAACTCCTAAAAACGACATCTGACAGAATATATCTAATCTGCTATTTGGCTAGGTCTGGGATGGTACAAATGAGAATCACCGGAGAACTTGGCCAACACAGTGGCTGCGGGTCTGCCCCCTGACTCCAGGCACCAGAAGCTCGCTCCGGGTGAGAAGTCTTTGAGCACCTGGGGCTGGACCTCTTGAGTTCATGGGTGGAGAGCCCCTCACTTTCTCCCCTGCTTCCCACCGCATGTCCAGGTGCCACGCGCCTCTCAAGCTTCAGTTCGGAGCCCCTCCTGATGGACTCTGGGTCTGGAGGAGCCAGGCCGCCGACGGCTTGCTGGGAGCGGGGGCCTTGTGCAGAGCCAAGTCACCCTCTGAGCGCCGTGAGGGACTGCCAGCCCTGCCGCAGCCTGCTGGCCAGCATCTCCCTGAAGTGGTCGCCCAGCAGGAAGTAGAAGACAGGGTTGACAGCGCTGCTCAGGAAGGCCAGCGGACGCGACAGCACGTACAGGCAGCTGATGACCACCTGCGTGCAGCCCTGCCCGCCGCCCAGGCGCGAGGCGATGCGCACGTTGCGCAGCACGTGGTAGGGCGTGAAGAGCACGGAGAAGACCACCACGGCCAGGACCACCAGCGCCAGGGGCTTCTCCAGCGTCTGCGCCACGCTCAGCTGCCGGCTCCGCTGCCGCAGAAAAATAGTGATCTTGTAGGAGAAGAAGCACATGACGGCCAGCGGCGCCAGGAACCCCACCAGGGTCAGGCACAGGCTGTAGACGAGGTTGTACCGCGGGTCCCCCGAGCTGGCGTAGTCGGTGCAGCTCGTGCCCTCCTCCGTGGTGACCGGGCCGATCACGTGGAGGATAGGCAGCAGCTCCAAGGTGACCAACGCCCAGATGGCCAAGGAGATCAAGACGGCCAACTCCTTCTTCTGCAGAAGGTGCTCCCGGAAAGGGAACTTCATGAGCAGATAGCGGTCGACGCTGATGAAGGTGAGGAAGAGGATGCTGGTGTAGAGGTTGGCGTGCAGCACGTAGCGGTTGCTCACGCAGAGCACCTCGCCGTACTGCCAGGCTCCCTTGGCGTAGCTTCGCATCAGCATGGGCAGCGTGCACAGGAAGGCCAGGTCCGAGATGGCCAGGTTGAACAGGTAGACGTTACTGCTGCTCCAGTTCTTCAGACAGAAGAGGTAGCCGAAAACCACCGTGGTGTTCCCAAGCATTCCCACGACGAACTCAAAGCCGTAAAAGATGGAGAGGTAGTACTTCTCCAAGGCCGACTGGACCTCCATCCAGTCCTTGCACGTTTCATTCCACTCCTGAAGAAGACAGGAAATGCAAGGGCAAAACATGAGAATGTGACGCAGGACAAGACTCTGCAGACCGCCGTTAACAAAAGGAACACTGGAGGAATGATAGCAGTGAGCTAAGCAAAATTCCTAGCTCAGTGTTCACTCTCTTGGGAAATTTTAGGAAATATCCAGGCGTGGTGGTGCACGCCTGTAATCCCAGTGGCTTGGGAGGCTGAGGCAGGAGGATCACAAGTTCAAAGCCAGCCTCAACAGCTTAGTGAGCCCTTAAGCAATTCAGTGAGACCTCAGCTCAAAATAAAATATAAAAAGGGTTGGGGAAGTGGCTCAGTGGTTAAGCTTGATTTCCAGTACCAAAAGAAACAAATAAATAAAAATTTAAAAAGTTAGAAAGTCAGGAAATAAATAAATGATGCCATATAATACCAGATGCTATAAATAAAAAAGGAGGAAAGCTAAAATTTTAGAGTTCTTGGAGTAGAGGGTGGCTGTGAGCTATTCTTATATATGATGTTCAGGGAGCTGCTTCTGTATGGGATTACATTTACACAGAAATTTCAGTGGAGAGGGAAAGAGCCATTTCCCTATCTGGAAGAAGAGTGTTTCTGACACAGGAAGGGCATGTTCAAAGGCCCTAAGAAAGAAGTGCACAGAGGGCTTAACAAACAGCAAGAGTCCAAAGCAGAGTGTGGTAAAGGAAGTGAAGAGGAGAGCCTAATTTGCTTTTGTTTCTAGAACATACCACAGTCCCCGGTGCATCATCGCTGTCCAACAAATTCTGCTGAGTTAAACTGAATTGAACCATAACCTAGAGAAGGAAATAGGGATTGTTAGAAATCCAATCTACAACTGCAATCTTGAAATAGACTATTTCAAAATTTACAATGTGAAACTGAGCATCTTACTAATGATAATAGTGCCTACTGTTTTTGAGAGCTGATAGTGGGGCAGGCACTGATGCACTACTTTCCAAGAATTATCTCATTTAATGCTCACAGTGACATAATGAAAGAGGGACTCGTGTTCTTTTCATTTGACACATAATTTCTCTGATGCTTGGAAAATTAAATACCTGCTATTTTAGTCTAACCCTGCTGCTATAGCAATTTACCTTACAGTGGGTAATCTATAAATAATAGAAATGTTTTCCTCACAGTGTGAAGGGTGGGAAGTCCAAGGTCAAGGTGCCAGGAGCGACCATGTCTGGTGAGCTGACAATTGCTCTTTGCTCCAAAGATAGTGCCTTTTGATGCTCACAGCAGTGGTGCAAGGCATCCCCCTGAACCAGATCTCATTGATGAGGCAGAGTCATCATGACTTACCTGTTCCCCAAGGACCTGCCTCTTAATACTGTTAGGTCCCAATGCATGTACTGTGTGAAGCCCCCAATACTCAGAGCACAACACTTGTTGAGGTCAGATGCTAGTGAAAGATCTTCACAGGGCTATCTTCTGAATACAGACCATGAAAACAGCAATCTAATTCAATAGATCTCAAACATCTTGCTAACTCTTCATTTTCTCCCTTGTCATCAGACCAGATTGTGGTTGGATAAGGTATTTCAAAGAATTTGAGTTATCTAAAAAATGTGCTGGATTGCCACTATTCAATATTACATCTTACTTATCTCAAGGTTGAATTTTCTAAATAAAAAACCAACTTCTTATTAAATAGGTTTTAGTGGCAATGAAATGATTCCTTCAATTGAAGAATTTGGGTAAGTACAGCAAAATAATAAGTGCATCTGAACTGTTTTTATCAAGAAGCAGCATCAAACATTCAGTAGAATCTTCTACCATAGAAGCTTCTGGAAAAGTTGCACGACCTCCTTCCAATTCAAGTGGCTTACCTAAAGGCTGGGAGGAGAGGGAGCAGGGCCCTGGGTCACTTCTTAGACAGGAGAGCACAATAGCCCTGCAGATATTTGCTAAGAAACTTACAAAGAGGCTACTTTAAAATCAGGACCTATGTGACGATCGGTGACACTCCAAAGGAGGAAAAGTGCCTGGTTGACATTTTGATGGGACTAAAGGCTGCATGGATACACTGAAGCTGTCCCCAGGGTTGGGCAGGGCGGACTTCCAACCTGTAGATCCACACAAACCCCTGTGGTGGGCGGGCTTGGGCGCCTCTCTCATGGGACCAGTCCCTCCTCGGGAGCTCTGCTTTCTTTATGCTAATCAAGTAAATCCTGTTACTTTCTCTCACCCTGTGTGTGTGTGGATTTTATCCTTCAAACTCGTGAGACAAAGTCCCCACCTCTGCAGCACTGAGTGTTGATTTGTGAGGATGAGTCTCGGGCCTGCAGCCGAGCTGGGCCTGCCTGGGGTCCGCTTAGGCTCTCCGGACCACGCTGTTCGTTCCCGATGTCTCTTCAGCCTTCTGGTGGGTCTCAGGGCTGCTTCTCCACCAGGGTCACGGCTGTCGTGGGATAAGCCTCAACAGCAGGAGCAGGAGCAGGTGCAGGTGCAGGCACTGCTCCCTGGCTTCATGGGTCACTGCCCCTCCTGGCCCAGCGTCTGGGAGGACCTGTCCCACTGTGCATGTGGCCCAACACTGGACCCTGGGAGCTGCCCTAGCGCCCACCCACCCAGCCACCCCACAGAGCTCCTCTTCCCCAGGCTCTATTCTGACTTCTCAGATGCTTCTCACACCAGGATTAGAGAAAACGCCCTCCTGTCACCTTCTGTCCCCTCACAGCCTCCTGGTTTTCCTCCCTCCACCCTGGCTGTGCTCTGCAGGCTCTTCTGTGGCTCAACTGGTAGATCCTAGGTTCAGGGCTCAGCTCTGGGGTTCCTTCTCTACATTCGGCCTAGATAATCTCATCCACTTTCGACATTCCAAAGCCGGCCTAGATTTACAACCAGCCCAGACCTGTTTTATAAGCTCTGGCTTTTATACTTATTGTCATGTATTATTTCTCACCAATGTCTCTGCCATTAAATCCTATGCTAAGTGACACTGGCACCAAAACAGACATGAAGATCATTGGTACCGAACAGAAAACACAGAGACAGACCCACATAAATATAGTTATGTCATACTAAAAAAAATACCATAAACGTACATTAGAGAAAAGATGTCCTCTTCAACAAATGGTGCTGGGAAAACTGGAAATCCATATGTAGAAAAATTAAATTAAACCCTTATCTCTCACGGTGCACAAAACTCAACTCTAAGTGGATCAAGGACCTAGGCTTTACACCCAAGACCCTATACCTAATAGAAGAAAAAGTAGGCCCAAATCTCTATTGAGTTGGCTTAAGAACTGAGTTTCTCAACAAGACTCCTAAAGTGTAAGAAATAAAATCGAGAATCGATAAAAGGAATGGAATCAAACAAAAAAACTTCTTCAGAGCAAAGGAAACAATCAAGAACGTGAAGAAAGAGCTTACAGAATGGGAGAAAATCTTTGCCACCTGCACCTCAGATACAGCATTAATCTCAAGATATATAAGAACTCAAAAAACTAAATCACACACACAAAAAAACATATGACCCAATTGGTAAGTGGGCAAAGGAACTGAACAGACATTTCACAGAAGAAGAAATGTCAATAAACATGAAAAAATATTAAGCATCTCTAGCAATTATAAAAATTCAAATTAAAACTACTCAAATTACATCTCACTCCAGTCAGAATGGCAATTATCAAGAATACAAATAATAATAAATGTTGGTGAAGATGTGGGGAAAAGGTAAACTCATACATTGCTGGTGGGACTGCACATTGGTGCAACCACTTTGGAAAGCAGTATGAAGATTCCTTAGAAAACATGGAATAGAACCACCATTTCACCCAGTTATCCCACTCCTCAGTACATACCCAAAGGACTTAGAATCAGCATACTACAATGACACAGCCACATCAATGTTTATAGCAGTTCAATTCATAATAGTAAGCTATGGAACCAACCTAGGTTCCCTTCAACAGATGAATGGATACAGAAAATTGTGGTGCATATACCCAATGAAATATTTCTCATTCATAAAGAAGAATGAGACTATGGGACTTGCCAGTAAACAGATGGAACTGGAGACTATCATGTTAAGTGAAATAAGCCAATTCCCTAAAACCAAAGCTCAAATGTTCTTTCTGGTATGTGGATGCTAACACACAATAAGCAGGGGTAGGAGGGAAGAACAGAAGTTTGTTGGGTAGACAAAGGAGAATGAAGGGAAGTGGGGGGTTTCTGGGAATAGGAAAGACAGTGGAATGAATCACATATAACTTTCCTATGTTCGTGTATGAATAACGACCAGTGTAACTCTACATCATGTACAACCACAAGAATGGGACGTTATACTCCATGTTTGTATAACATGTCAAAATACATTCTACTCTCATGTAAACTAAATAGAATTTAAAAAAAGAAAGCCTATGCTAAGTTCTTCCACTTCCTTACCAGTGTTGCAGAATATCCACCTATCTCAGTAAAATTGTGTCATCATGGACCCAAGTGTTCACCACAGAACTCTAAGCAACGACCTCAAAGTCATCCCTTATTTAACCCCAGTAATGAGTCAACTCCCACATCTTGTTGCCTGTCATTCCAGATGTTTCTCAAGTTCATCATTGTACCCACACACCATATTCTAGTCTAAGCCACTGTTCTCTCTATCTTGGATTATGTCACATTCTCTTACTGTCTCACATCTTCTCCAGACCTTTTCAATTTATTGTCGCTATAATAGCCACATAATCTTGAAAATAGAATCACATTGCTCTCCTAGACTTCAATGACTTTCCACAGTCCAAGGACTGCAGTCTGAATCATTGATGGGGACCCCACACCATGACCTGGCTCCTGGGTGCCACTTGGCCTGCCTTAGCGTTCCATGTTCACCTCTCCTCCCACCTGCTCTTGAACACACAGAGTGGTCCAGGGCTGTCTTCCTGAAGTGACTCTATTGTGTGACATTATTCATCTTACATGTAGACTTCTTTCAGGACTCAAATCAAGTGTGAGTTTCCCAGAACAAGCTCTCTGGCCCCCATTCTAAGCCAGCCCCTCCCCCTGGCGCTGTGGGGCAAGTTGAACTTCCTAGCACCTCTTGAAACTTTGTTTGACTCATTGTTTATCTTCTACATCTGGCCCAGTGACTAGCAGATGGTAGGTGGTTGGAAAATGCTTGTTGAGTGAAGATAGAACTGTAAACATCTGACTGTTTACCAGGAGTTTTATAAATAACTCCTCCAAGTTCAGAGAAGTAGCATGTCCACAAAACTGAACCCCAAATTGCTGTATTTCATTACAAAATATGACACTCTGTATAATATAAATGATATTAAAAATTGGAAACGGTAGTACCAATAGCTATGGCTTTGAAACATTTATAGAAAATGTGTGTGTCTTTCTAGGATACATTTAATAATCCAAGGCATTTAATTAAGAATTCACACCTGAAATTAAGAAACATTCGAAAGATTTGCATCAAAGTGTTGGTAGTTTCATTCCTAACAATGATATTCCAAATAGTTTTTTCCATGTCCTTTTTCCTTTTAGTCTCTGACAATTTTTTTATAGTAAGGCAGCATGTATTCAGTAATATTAAAAGTTTTAATTCTTAGAAATATAGAAAAAGGGCCAAGGAACTTCTCTGTGTAAGCTAATAGTCCTTGTTTTTTCAGATCAGTGGTCTTTTTCACTAGCTCCAACTCTCCTGCTGCTGCTGCCGTTCCCAGCCTCCTGGAAGCATGCGCTCCCTGTTTTCTATGATGTGCCAATCTGGTCCCTCCAGTCCCTACTGCAGACTCCCTTGTGACTGACCCTTCTTTGCCCAAGTTTTAAATGGCTGGACAGTCTAAAGGTTCAATCTGGATACCTTTGTTATTTGGGGAGCACCCAGAAGGTGGGGTGCACACTTAAAATTGAAATTAAGATAGTAGAAAATTTCCTTCAGACAAGAAACTCACTAGTTTCAGTTTTGAATTTCCTTTTTCCAGTCATAACCAGGAACCAGGTCGTATTTCTGCCTAGTAAGTGCTGGCTTTTGTCAGTAGTTTATGCAACTGTGCGCAGCAGAAAGTTTGGACGATCTTGAATGGAAACTGTGTCTATGAGGACAGGCATGACTTGAAGCCAGATTGCCACCGACCACCACTCAGGCAAGTTAGGGACCTCGTGGAAATGATGAGGAGCTCTTCTACTTTCCAAAGAGGCTGGATATTGAGGGAGCTAGCAAGGATAGAGCCCTGCAGGGTGGAGTAAGGAAATTAGGGACTAAACTCGCCTGTTCCTTTCCTCCATTAATTTATACCTGCATGTTGCTTCTCATAGAGCGGTTGCCCCATAAAAAAAAAAAAAAAAACCTTTAAAAATATATGTATGGGGCTGGGTTGTAGAGCACTTGCCTAGCACCACATAAAAATAAATAAATAA